AAGCATTCAAGAGGAAGTCAGGCAGTAAAAAATAAGATTTATGGGAGGAAGTTGGGAGAACCGCGGACGTGGAGAATTATTCAAATAAGCAAGTGAAGGATTATATCTGATTCCAAACAAAATTCTTAGAAAGTGTGCGATGTGTCTCTATCAAACAGATATGTTTATCCATATAGAGTTTCGAGTGATAAGTGATTTTTGTGGAACTATCCAACCAGATATCAGTTGTTGGCTTTGCGGCTACCCATTCGGCTCCAAGAGAATATGTAAACAAATCATCTCTGGGTTTCGCTGGGGCTGCGGCCTATCTTGGGGTCTTCAAAGCGAAGAAACCGCCAGAGACCCCAGAAAATAAAAGGGAAAAAGAAGAGAGAGACCTTTAATTATAACCAAATACCAGTTGAGGCGACACCTTTGTTTGCCTGTGTTTTTCCATTCTGTAAATTTGTTTAAATTATTAGCAAACGCCGAGCAACAAGTGCACTAAAGCGAAGTTCATTATTTTTCCCCGATTCTCTGACGCTGTGTAAATCCTTTGGTAAATAAGTATCCCCCGCCTGTCGGCGGCGTAACTCATAAATTCACGCAAAATAAAATTTATGTATGTTTTTCGACTGGAGTCGGGGGAAAACCGATGCCGGACAAGAAGATGTACGAAAGATCGCGATAAGATCTGGTCTTAAATGAGTTGTTAAACGGGAATCGTGCCCGCCATGGATATAAATAATAATAACAACTCAATCTGGAGTGGCGTGGGTAGCTTGAAAAGTCCCCGGACAAGTGAACTAACTCTTTATGCGGTCACAAAGGTTCTCAACTTGGAATCGAAATCGGTATCGTGTGAATGGGAATGAAAACCTTTCTACCTGTTTGGCAAATTGAATTTTAATTCGGAATTGAGTTGTACACATGTCGGCCCTTTTTCACAGGATTTCCGCTTGCTGTTTAGCCTTTTTTCGAATGAAATCCCTGGGCTAATTAGTATGCCGAACGAGTGCCCATGAAATTTACAAGCCAACTGGCTTTCCTACGTAGTTGAAACATAAATTTCACAAAAGTGTCGTCTGCTCTAAGGCACTGAAAGAAATAAATTTATCATAGTTATTTTCTTTCTGTATTAAAGAAGCATCAAAGAGCCAAGTTCATTGAATCGGGCAACTTATGGCATATGCCTAAGCTACTTACAAGGTAAACTCCAGACCCAGACTCAAACGGAAAGTATCTTATGCAAATAGGTCTTTATATGGGGGACAGAAATAAAACATTGGCAGAAGAATATTAAGCAGTAAGAAATTGTAAACACAAAGCAAAATATTTGTTATACGCTTGTAAATTTATCGCGGCAGAAAAGTCCAGGGAAAAGCGAAAGGAAAAGGAAAAAGCCGGCTGGCTGGGGGAAATTCGGGAGGCTGTTTTTCACGCTCAGCTGCCCGGCGGCCGAGGAAGAGGAGAGGAGCTGGCAAAAAGGAGCCGAGCCGAGAATAACAAAAAATTTTTTTTTTTTTTTTTTTTTTTTTTTTTTTTTTTTTTTTTTTTTTTTTTTTTTTTTTTTTTTTTTTTTTTTTTTTTTAATTTTTTTTTTTTTTTTTTTTTTTTTTTTTTTTTTTTTTTTTTTTTTTTTTTTTTTTTTTTTTTTTTTTTTTTTTTTTTTTTTTTTAAATAAAAAAAAACTTTATCGCAGTGCTCGCAGGACATGAATTTCTCCCCTCGTCCTGCTTCGTCCTTAATGCTGAGTGACATTGATGTGACATGCCGTCATCTTGCCCTCCCCCCACCAACTTTGCTTTATTTAAAAGTTTTTCTTTCGCTTTTTTTTTCGCTTAACGCCTCGGGGGCGTGGCAAGTTTTGTTTGGTTAGTAGAGCACACACACCTTGTGGAAAACAACGCCCCCGGGGGATCGCCGGTCGGGAAGCCAGGGACCCTTGGCCCTGGCAAATAATAAATGATATGTAAACTAAGTCAAAAGTTGCCGTAGGTTGGGTAAATCACAACTTACGGGGGACAAAGCCGAGCCCACATCGCAGTAATTTGTGCGTGTGGCCAAAGCCCGAAGGCATTTTCCAGAGATTAAAGAAGAAAAACTAGGAAAAGCCGGCTTTAATGTAATTTAAAGATGTGATGAAAAATTCTATCTTTAAATCCCTGATATTCTCATAAAATTTTTCTATCGGATAAAATAGCAGTAATAAAATCTAAGAAAGTTTTATGAACTAGTTTTAGATAGGACTTTATCTTGAGCACATAAAACCCTCAAATAGATTTGCTCTCACAGATTTTGCAACCATTATTTCCGAGGATAATTCCGACTGTCTGCCACATTTGTTCCACTTACGAGTCCGACAATCCCCCGCTGCGATATCAATGCCCTAACTATAACGTCTCAATATGCGAGCCACAAAAAAAACGAGAACCAAGAGATACAAATTCTTACCTGAGCCGAGTTTTTCCAGCCAAGGCCCAGACAACTACGACGCACCCATATCAATTTCCTCTATGCGACCCAAAACGAATTAAAATTACACATTGACTGGCGGTCAAAAAAAAAAAAAAAGAGAGAGGTAGTTATATACCCTATAGACAGTAGGGATTTCGGAGATCCTTTGCCTCGAATCCGAAGGCCTGTCGCCAATGCCCGGAGAACATTTATCATTCGAGCTAATAAATGCGTTTCCCTTACCTGACCGACACGAACCCAATTCCAATTGAGTCATATACCATAGTATAGCTACCCCCGATATGAGGCCTGACTTTTGGGCTGTGTCCATCTAATTTTACTTTTTCCTTTCTCTTTTTTTACTATAACAATTTCCCAATCAAACAATTCAATTATGGGAGTGTATAAATTTCAGCCAGCTGTTCTTGTTCTTGTACTTGAACCGCAATTGTCTTTTGTCAAGTACTGGAAGAAGTTCTCCCGAAATAAATCAACGAGGAGTTGGAAGTGCGGAAAGTGAAAGGAGAAATGGGAGAAATGGCATTTTCTATTTTATATCGTAGGGAGAAATGGAAAACCCTTTAATTGGGCTTGAAGTGTTTGAGTTATGATGAGGGGGGGCATTCAGAAATTCACAATCTCAGAGTCCCAAAACCAAATCGATGGCCAGACAGCTGTCCTCTAAGTATGCCCAGGCTTTAAGGCAATTAACCCAAGTGTGCCCAGGCTTTAAGACAATTATCTAAGTGCTTTTAACCCCCAGCCTTTGATTCCGATGGCGGATCCATCCGTTCTTATCGAAACGAGTTGCCCACGCTAATTGCCCCCCGCCCTCGAGCACCTGATTCGGTTGGGACTTTGATTTCCATTACGCTTCCTTTTGAGCCTGTCCATAACATTTCCGTTTTACGCTTCAGTTAAGTCCGTTTCTTGGCTGAAAAGGAAGAGGGATACGGATAGGGATGGCATCCCAACCAGTCGACTTAATCTCAAAACAAATCGATTTCGTTGACTGTCTGTCTTCTCCTAAGGGTTCCCTCTTTTTCAACACGATTTATTTCATTATTCTCGGCCTTTGCTGCTTTTTTTAAGTTTTTGTCTGCTCAAGTTAATCACCCAGGCCAGACAATTCAATCGATTTGCTGAGGAGAGCCAGCCGAAAACTAAAGCTTTAAGTTTTCTTGAAACCCAATCTTGTCTTTGGAGATTTCTTTTCCCGCTTTTATTTCGGTCTTACTTTTATTTTCGTCCGATTTCTTTTGTTATTTATTAGTTTGGTCTGCGCTGAAGCTGGACTCTTCAATTCAATTCAATTTTCTTTACAACATTTCATCTTTGACATGTTTTGTGTGTCCGTCCAGCCGTCTGTATGTCATTGTGTGTTTATATATCCCAGAGTTCCTCCGCTGCCTCCTCAGCCCCTCTCCTCCCCGCGTTTCCTTCTCCGGGCCGTTGTCGTCTTCGTTTTTAATATCTTTTAATCTCCAATGTCAACAGCGGCTTACATTTGATTGCAAGACAACACACACACAGATACTGTATACTGTGTATATATTTTTTTCAAGATCTTATCAGGCTGCAGTGCCTCGAATCGAGACTCTCTTCGCCGTTTTCCTCTCGAGAACTGTCAGCTAATTAAACGAAACCAACTGGCAACATATGTTGGGTATGAGAAAGGGAGTCGGAATCGGAATAAGAATCCAGATTCGATTCAGAGTCGGGAATCAGAATCACAGAACCAACCTTGGACTTGGACTACCCCACACAACAGCTGGGGAATTCTTAAGCAACTGTCAGTGCAACTGAGAGACAAGTCCCACAAACAGCAGCCATGCTTATATCCACCATATATCATCTACCTACTGCGCCTTATAGCATATCCGATTGCCGCGCAGGACCATCAATCATCGGTCCTAACTCAATCGAAACCCCGAAAACCTTAACGCAGAAAAAGGTTTCACCAAGTCAACCGTTTTTTCTCAATTATTTTGTCAGCATATGTGTGAAGAAAAAACACAACCGCAGCGAACAAAAAAATGAAAGGATAATAATAATAAAAGTATTGAAAATAGAAACAAGGAGCACACACGCTGGAAAAACTCGGGGTAAAACAATTGCCAGTGAGTCGACGGAAATCGGGGTGCAAAGGGATAAAAATAGCAGTGCTCGCCAGAGCAAAGTAAATAAAAATAAATAGCAAAAAATGGAAACGCATTAGGGAAAATCAATAAAAATTAACATTTGGCCACAGCGAGAAGGTCGCTTTTCCGGGGGGTGGTTAGGTGGAGGATTTTATTTTTTTTTCGGGATTTAGCGGACAGTCGTGCAGGATCAGGCCAATTGAAGATAGGGAACCAGAGTTACGTGCCCGAACATCCATGTGTGAGATAATTAGCACACAAAAGGAGACAAGGCCACATGCTGAGTACTTTTCAACTAACCAGAGTCCTTTTCTCTATTCCTTTTCACAGCTACAAGGCCGCCAATGAAGGCTGTCCAGATGACAGCGATCGGGCAGCGAATTTGACACGCATCCAAAACTTCAAAGCGATACGAAACCGAAGAGGGGAAACCCTACATATAGATAATCCCCCAGCAAACCCCGAAGATCGAAACCATCCCCTCCAGTCGAAATCTCCCGAATTCAATGTGGAAAATGCTGGATATGATGGAACTGTCCGAGGCCGAGCTCTTCATGTTCGACTGCGACGACTGCTCGGGCACGCCCCTTGCCCCGCCGCCCCAGTTCTTCATCCCCCCGCCCCCAAGGCCGCCGGCCCTGGCCGAATTTACGGTGGTGCCGCAGGATTGCAACGAGGAGCAACTGGCCCAGCAACAATGGGAGAGCGATGTCTGCCAGGCAATGCCGGTGAGTTGAAAATTCCATCTAAAAATCTCAGTTTCACACTTGGAAAATTAGCATTGCATACTCTTAGACAGCTTTTTAGGTGATTTCCAATCCAATAATCCTGAAAATCACTTTATAAATTAGCATAGCATACTTTTAGACACCTTTTTCAGTGATTTAAAAACTCTCTACAACATTTTCCTTAGAACTGAGATTTTATCCCTGACCTTAGGTGACGAATCTCTTCCCTCAGTGCAGCTTAGGCTGATTATAATTTCGAGGGCGTTGCAAATGGGATTTTCCCAACCCAACCCCCTATGGGTGGATGATTATGCAACCCCTCTCCGCACTTTGCCATAATGAGGCCTGCATTTTGGCACAGCTGTTGGGATTTTCCCCCGGACTGTTGATTTTCTGCTTCCCGAAACGAGTAGCAAGTGATTTGGCTTTTTGTGAGAGGTGTCAGAATTGTATGTTGCCTTATTGAATTATGTGCTCTATGCATATTACAACAAACAAAAGCCTTCGTGTTCGATTCTCAAGTGGTGGGTTGAGCCGAAAAGGTAGGCGTGGCCGGGGGGCGTTGATTATGAGCTGGTAGTACTGAGCATAAATGTTGACAGTTGAGTAGGCACTCCAAAAATCGCAGCAATTGATTTATTGACATAGGAAAATTGCGACACCTGAGGGAAAATCTGTTCGATTTGTGGTCTGATACGATAATTGGTGGATTAATATTATTGAAAACCTTTTCTTATATCTAGAATCCTTTAAACAACAGTCCACCTTAAACTTAAGTGAACTCTTCAACCTCTTTAAGGCCATTTAATTTTAAGTTAGCCACCCAAACAAAAAATACCGAAAGGACTCGATGAAAAATTGCCAACATGCCACGCCCACTCGAACACACAACGCCCACATTTCGGGTGCCGGTCGGGAACCGCAAGGAATCACTTTAAAGCAAAGTGAAACAAATTTCTTTTCGTTTCAAGTCCTTTTGGCCTCCAGTTGCCGGAGCAACAGCTGTTGCTCCTGCCCTCATCATTATAAGGACGACTAAGGACATCCCCTTGGACAGTTACAGCTACAGCTAAATTACAATAACAATGAAAAGTTAAGCGGCAAAAAGGACAACAAAAAGCATTTTTCGGCCGCCAGTCGTCCGTCGGCAACATATGGCCCACAAAATCAACCCTCAACTTTAAAAGGTTGTCAGCGGTTGCAAAGCAACAGAAACAGAAAAAAGTAGAATCAGAAAAAATAGATATTTCTATATAATTTTTTGTGCTGCCAACAAAAACAGGCAAATAGATAATTTTTCATGTGGAAAAACTGTAACTCGGCACTCGTCTAATCTGGGGCAAGTGTTTGTTTAGGTTCTCTGTGGTAAAACAAAGATCAAATTCCACATATCAACACCGCCAGCGGTCATTGATAAAATTTCACGTGCCCCAAAAGTAGAAAAAAAAAGTCCGTCGTCGAACTCCAACCCCCGAATCTTTTTCCAGCTCCAAGTCGAGTGTTTTCCACTTAATTTCCAACATGATAAATTTAAATAAATATAACCGAAAACGAAAACGAAACGGGGACAAAAGTATCCATATAAGCGGGATCTGTGTGTGGTCCCCCGTCATCTTAGAGCATTTTCTGTGTGGGCACTTGAGGCTGTCGCCCCGTTGATTTATGCTGACAAATCAAACGTTAATGTTAACATGCAGTTTATGTCGGAAACTGTATCTCACGGTCCTAAAGTATTCCAAAATCCAAAACCCAACTGAGAGATTATTTTAGATATTAAATCGTTGCGATGGAGAATTGCAATTCCCCCTAAATCGCAGGTAAACACATTAAAATCTCGGCGAAATCAGCTTAAAATCAATTTCGAGCAAGCGAATCAATTTAATGGATTAGCGTTGACGAATAAAATTCAATGGCGGAAAGCTCTCTCGCCCATCAAATTGATAAGTTTAACGGGAATTGTGCCAATTTGGGGGTGTGCGTGTGTCAACTGGGAGAAGGGAGAGCTTGAAAAAATTCGGAAAAGCAAGGAAAAGCGAGGAAAAACCTTTAAAAGGCAAGCGGAAGTGGCATCCTCGCCAGACATGCGAAATTAAATTTCCAGCGAGTGTGTGTGGAGCCAAGGAGCAAAAATACTTGACAAGCAGCTTCTGATTTGCTCCAATGGGCGTGGCAGCAAATAATCCTTTTTCCAGCTTTCGCTTCCTTCTTCCTTGAGATGTATATGTATTTCAGGAGAAGCGAAGAGAAGCTCTCCTTTAAGCAGACGAGAAACTGTTGAAGACGATGACAAGGGGAGAGTTTCGGGGGGCGAAGGACATCCAGACTTGGGTGTGTAGCAAATAGCATGACATTGATATCAAATGTCGTGAGAATGCGAAATTCCTTAGCTGTTCATCCTACATATATATATTAGAGCCCTGCATGAATCATTCAATTTTTGTTTTATCATAGTATGCCATGAAATTTCTGATTTGTTTATTCAATTCTATGTGAAATAAATTGAATGTTATTCTAATTCATTTAGAAATGAATGAATTGAATGAATTATTTTATGAATTTTTGAATTTTCCAGATTTTTTGTGCTTTCTTTTGAGAACAAAAAGTGGAAAATTTTAACAAATCAATGTTAACAGCATAGTAAATAAAATTCATGCAGATTTAGTCACAAAATTATGGCCCTTTCTTCTTCAAAATAAATTGTCGTTTGAATTATTTCGGAATTCATGCCATTCATTCATTCAATTCTATTAAACTCAAAATTCAAATTCTTTCAATTCTATTAAACTCAAAATTCTAATTAATTCATTCATATAAAAGAAAAATTCAAAATAATTCATTGAATCCATTCATGCAGGGCTCTAATATATATACCTATATATAGCTAAATTTTGTTGCCTTTGGCTTTTGTTGTAGTCTGCTTTTGGGCGCTTTGGCTTTTGGTTTCCCAGGAATGGGATTTCGGGTGATGTGGGTGGTGTTGGCTTAGAATGACAAGGCCGTTGTTGCTGTTATTGTTGCCGCTGTTTAGTGTTGATGTTGTTTACAGTTGACATAGCCAGACACAGCTGCAGACAGTCGCAAAAATCGGGAAAGTAGGGGAAAGTCGGGGAAAGGGAACCGAATGAAAAATATTTGTGTGCACAAAAATTGAATTTTCATGCGAGTATAAATATCTTTTTGCTCGAATAAATAAGATATATTTTTTGGATGCAGAAGGAAAAGGTCTTTTCCCTTTTACTCAATCACTTGAACTCTAGATTAGCCAATTTAAATTCGAAAAAAATCTATATTTAAAGAAATTCCCAACCCTTTTCGATTTCGAGTAACCCCACTGCATTTTCCATTTTCTTTTGCACCATTATCGGCGCCATCTTAGCCGCATCGGCCCAACAAGTTTCGCAACTCATTACACCCTCCGAACATCTTATGGGAATGGGGCTCAATCACGAGCTGTTTCCAAACAATTGCACTGCCAAGTGGTTACCGAGAACCCCGGAGAAAAAGAGGAGGAGGCTATCCACCAGGTCGATTCTCGATATGCACGTGCAATGAAATCGAAGTTGGGGTGCTAAAAAAAAAGAAGAAAAACAGAAACAGAAAGGGGAAAAATAAAGGAGCCAGCCACACATGCATCGTATGTTCGGAAAACTTTTGCCATGTTATCAAAGCAGCCTTTGTTGCTGTTGCTGTTGCAAAATAGTTTTCATCCTGCAAGTGGCACGTGCTTGTTGCTGGCTTTTCCTTTTGTCGTGTTTTGATGGTGAAAACTTTTGTGTTTTTCTCATCAGGCACGAAAATGAAAACGCGCTAGTCGTTGACTTTGCGAGCGAGAAAAGTTGTTAACTTTAAAGTTTTCCCGTGAGCGGTGAGAACTTTTCTTCAGGTGCTTCTGGTAGTGGTAGTGGAATTCATTTTGACGACTGATTTTGATGACTTGCCAAACGGTCCCCCCATTTTCTACATTGTTGTTTGAGCTTTTTTATGCACTTTGGCCACACTTAAAAATTGGGTCAAAGGCAGGCATTTCACTTTATGGCCTACTAAAGCCGCCTGCTGCCTGCTTTCTGTTCGCCCTTGAGCCTGGTGATTTCTCATGATTAAAAAGTTGCCACAAGGCCACAAGGAAAACTCGCACGCATAAAAGTAAACAACATCTTGCAGCTTTGCGTTTGCTGCGTTAATCTCACTTTGCCTTATTCCCGCTTTTTATTATTATTATTTTTTCGGGTGGGTGTAAACTTTAAGCCATAATTTTATATTCCGCCCCACCCGAAAGCACCGAAAGACCCGGAAACTCGCCGACTAATGGCTTTTGTTGTCTGCAACTTGAAGGAGGGCTTAATTATTTTATCGGCCAAGTTGTTCTGGAGGCACTGAGAGAAAATAACCATATTTTGACCTAATAATCGTAAATAAATAGAAGAAGGAGATGGCTTACTTATCAATATTTATTTTGAATACGTATTGAATTAGCCTATTTTTTCCAAGTGCCTACTGTTTGTATTTCCCTTTATTCTGTATTCCCTAGACATAAATCGTTCAAACTCTTATCGTTATCTTGTGTTTACATTGCCTACTCCTTTTTTCCCTGCCTTTCTTTATTTAATTTAATTTATGGAATGCCCAGGGGCCAGGGAGAGAGTGTGTGTTGTTTAGCGAGGGGTGAGCGGTTATTATAAGCGGCCTAGATGGAAAGCCTTCAATCATACCGGTGGCACTGCTTATCTGGGCAAACAGCAACTCTACTTCTGTTGTTATCGATAATGCGACTCTGCCTTATTTCTGTGTATTTCTCTTTTTATCTCAGGGCTAATCCGTGGGGCAGCTGGAAGCATTTCGGTGGCAATCGACAACTGTCGCAATGCGCACAGTTATTGCCCCCGCCACTGCCACTCATTTATTTGTTTGGCCCCAAAATGAACATTACAAATAGGTAAACGCCTTTTGCTAGCTCCACACAGTAACACATGCATGTATTTTAGATTTATCGATTATCAACGCACAAGCACGCAGGCATAGTCACACACAATGCAGTTCAAAGTTGACTGGAAAATGTGTGAAGCGTACGAAATGAAAGAGGGAAATGTTTCCAAGGCGAGACAAAAGGAAATTGTTTCATTTTCTTTTCACCGACCACGAAAAAAAATTGAATGACGCAAGTGTGATTTCTATAAATTCAATTGGGAATATGTGAAGAAAAAGAGGGGTGAACTTATATTATTGTAGGGGAATAATTGTGGCATTATCGTATTTATGAAAATTTTGTAAATAATAAAAAAAAAATATTATATTTTAAATATTTATTTATAGTAATATAATTTTTTTATTATTCAAAATTTTTCTTTATTTTTCCAAATACCTTTAAATATTTCGTTGTTTTGCTCCGCCCTTGGCAATTCCCCCAGCACTCTAACAATGCTCCAAATTCAACCGAAATGATATGATCGAAGCCCAAAAGAAAAAGACAGAGGAAAAATCTCGTGTCAGGTCTCATTAATCAATTTGATTACGAGCATTCGGGCAGTTCCCCCGCCAGATTTCGAGCTTTTGGCGTTGCACTGCGCACACATGCCAGGCATAATTGTTTAATTTATTATTATTTGTCTCTGAATGGGTTTCCAAATACAAATTTCTTAATTTTTATTTGTGTGTGTTTGGCTTGGCTCGGTGATAAGCGATCCAAATGGGGATTTCGCCCCGCCTCTCCCCCTTTTTCGATAATTTAAACAATTTCGCCATGTGGAAGGCGGCTGTTGGATGTCAATATTTTAATGGCTTATCTCTGGGGGCTAGAAATGGAAATGCTCTCTTGTAATTTCTGTTTGTTTACGCTCTCAATCCGCGTGTATTTGTTGCTCTCAATGAAATATGAATAATATTTATATTTGCCCCGAGCGCATGATTAATTACTCACTAGCTGATAAGCGTTTGAATCGCTTTGTGAGTGAGTAGCAGCGAGTGCTTCCGCATTTTGCCGCAAACTGTGCCACTCGTATTTGTGTTTGATGTGCGCAAATAAATCAGAAAATCGGAAAGTTGGAAAAATGCTTTTAATAAATTAGTAAATGCACAAAATGCATTACGAATTAAAGAGTAACCTACATTCGAAAACAAAGAGAGCCAGTTAAACACAAACAAACAGCCGGCGAAATTATTTGCACAGCTGTCAAAGTTTGACCCCAATTTCCATGTGTTTGGCGAAGCTGCATCCTCTCTTCCTCTCTCTTTCTCCTTTGCTGTCTCACTCGCTCACAAAAAAATATTTTCCATGTTTTTGAGTGATTTATGTACGATTGTGTGTGTGCCCCACGACAGGTGCATTTGTGGAAGACTTTTCCACACTTCTTCGTCTTTTGTTTTGGCTTTTTCCAGTTTGACTCTCGGGTCAAACGCCCAACGAAACTGAAATAAAATGGGAAATAAATAAAAATACTTAATGCAAAATATTTTTGAAATTTAGGCTGGAAAAAAGACGGTTTATCTTCTTGTGACAGTGACAGGTGAGAGGCGGAAACCTGATAGGCAGAGTTGTCAGTCGAAAGAGATTAGAAAAATGTTGGGAAATAAAAATGTTGTTAAAAAATAAATTAAGATTTTTTGGCATATTCCAAAGAAAGATTTTTCAGAAAAAAAGTACCCCAAAACTTATCAATCTTTATTCACTTTTCGTATCAACTGATTTCCCTTATTTATCCACGACTTCATCATTTATTTGGCAACTTTTTTGCATGCCCAAGCATAAATTCAAAGGCAAATTGCCCGCCTTATCCCCATTCAGCTGACCTTAATTTCCTGGGTCTGGTCAAAAAAAAAAAATAAACAAAAAGAGGGAAAAAGGTAAAACGCCCACACTTCGCAGTCTGAATTTGAGGAAAAGCCAAAGTAACCGAAAGGTTAACAGCCCAAGTCGCGTGCGCTGCGCTTTTGTTTGCATTTCGTTAGGCATATTTACGAAAATATTTTCCTCCTGCCAATGGTTTTCCTTTTGGCCTCTTGTTTATATGCAAAATGGCTTTGTGTTTGAGTTGAGCGTTGATTTACTCACATTTAACTTTTACTTTTACTCTTAGACCCCCCAAACTAAGACCTCTGTTTTCCCCTCTTTATCTTTGCAGATCTTGGATGCCAGCCTGTACAGCAGTCAGTCGTTAGCCACATCGGCCATGATAGCCGTGTTCTCGCTGCTCTTGGTCTTGATTGTCCTCATCTCGTCGCTGTTCGTTTGGAAGTAAGTACACTTGAAAATATTAATATTATTATTGAAAAGAAGGGATCAAAAACAGGTTTTAATTTATGTTTTTTAATCACATTAAATGTAGATTATTCGGTGCTATATATTTTTAAATTTTTAAAAATAGTTTCTCCTTCGATAGCAATATTTTTTTCCCGGTGTCCTAAGCAATGACTCAATTACTTGGCCTGGCCCACACACACACCGCACTTTTCCCTCCGACAAACGCCTTGTGTGGCTTTGTCTTGACTATTGCAGCGGCTTGTCCCCTTCTGGCAACTATTTTTTCTTGCTTTTCTTCTCTTTACTTTGCCGCAGTGGAAGCTGCAGACTTTTGAGGCTTTAAAGGAGGCGTTAACCATTGCCTGCAACAACATGTTGCTCTTTTGCCTTTATGATTTATGTGGCTCCGAACCGCAGGAAAAAAGTTTCCAGTGGTAGATAGCTGAGATGCGATAAAGAGGCGGAGTTCCTGCATTTCATAGAGATTTTTTGGCTTGCTGAGGGGCCAAAGAACGGGTTAAAGTTTTTAAATTTTTTAAATTTAATCCCAAGAAGAACTAAAATAATTAAATTTCAATGGTAAAAAAAACCAGTAAATATTTTGGCACCCCCTAAAAAACTTAATCAACTCAGGCAGCAGTTCAGAGGATAATAAATTCTCTGCCAGCAGTGGCAAATAAAATTCAGTGCAGGTGAACGCAGGTAAAAACGCGGTGGCCAAAAGTGTTGGGCCGCAAAAATGTTCACGCCATATGAAAAATGCAAGCAATGCATAAACATTATAAAACTATATCAAAAATGTATGTAAACATGCGAGAAAAAATGTGGAAAAATAGAAGAAAATAAGCGGGAGAAATAAAAACCCATTTGCTAAAGCTGTCGAAGGAGAAAGAGACGGGTGAAGAGTAAAAGAAAGAGAGGGGAAAAACGCGTTGGCAAACGAAAATTAATGTAGACTACTTTTGAGCGGAGCCACACTGACCTATATGGCAATGCGAGTGTGTGTGTGCGGGTGCACTTAAAACCGAAACTAAATTAAATTGAAATTTTAAATAAATGTTGCTGCAGTCGCAAGGCTACAAGAAAAAAGCACGTGAGAAATGGTTCAGGCACACACACAAATCAACTTTTAGTTGGTTTGGAAAAAAACACAACCCCAACATACACACACAAGTAAAGATATAAAACAATTTACTTTTACAGTCTCCGCAAAAAAAAACACTCGAAAAAAACTCAGTGAGATTGCAAACGAAATGAAATCTGCTGCAGAAATAAACCACAAAAGAGGAGCAGAAAAAAGGGGGCGAATGAAACAAGCTCTGGACATTGTTTGCATGTAATGCAGTGTGGAAACACAGGGGCAGGAAAAGCAGGAAAAGCTGGGAAAGCTGCAAAAGATTTTTGCACGCACAGCAGAGTAGAAAAGAGAGGAGGCTAGATAATGGCTATGGGCAAGGCCACAGCTTTACACATATATATCGCTTTTTTTTTTTGCCGGCCTACCCCAGTCTTTAAAGGGTTAAAGCTGAACTAAGAGGATGTGTGGGATCTCTAAAGGATATACAACAATATAACCGAAGGTCCCCTCATTAACATCAACAAGTGTTGAAGTAGCAGGCTCCCCGAAAAACCCAAGGCTGTCCCGAAAATCGATTTTCCTTTCAACAACAATACGCAACTTGTTCGGAAATATTCATGGGTCTATGGGAAAAACGAGGGGAGGAGTTATGGCTACAAGCGATTTTCATACATATTCATTAAAGTTTGCTGACCGCACGCACGCACAGTGGGCGGAAAATGGTTGGGAAAATGGGTGGGAGAATGTTGTTGTTGTGCTTCATCATTTTTGAGGTTGTTCCTGGCCATAACAAAGGCAGCAAAAAAAACAGGACAAACGGGCATCTTTATTACATAGTTATCTATGCATGCATGTGTGTGGGTGTAGCTGCTTTAAGTGTTCAACCCCCCCAACCACCCAAAAGATGTGTCTGTGTTCGTGCCATTTTTGTGGCATTTATGATGTGGCACATTATTTTTGCTTTTATGTGCTGCGTGTCCTGGACCCACGAAAGGAAGAGCAAAAGAAACACATAACTATGAAAAAGGCATAAATAAAATAGCAACTAATTTTATTTATATTTCTGTTCGAGCCTCAAACAAATCAAATAATCACAACGCAATCACTGCAAGAAAAAGTCTGTGGCTTTGTCATACGGAATTCTTGATCCGCCCGCTTTGTGGCCTTTAAATTCTTCATAAATAATTAATTAAAATGCCCCGACAGATTGCCCCCAACCGATTATCATATAAAATTCAAACCATAAATTGCATTTATTATGATGCATTCAGCCCTTTTTCTTTTTTTTTCCCCGATTTCCACCCCGCTCCATTTCCGCTGGTAATTACCTTAATTATTTTAATAAACCGCCAGAGTGTTTTCAGCACTCTCCGATTGCCACACACTTTGCTGCAAATGTTTGCATATTGGAACTTTATTAATTACACGAGATGCGAGTGCCGTGCCACACCAAAAACCATATGCAACATGTGTGCGTAAAGTGACATAAAATGATGGAAAAAAATCTGAAGCCCTTGTTATTAAAATTGTTAACATTGTCGTCAGTTAATAATATTTCAATAAATGTATATGCCTAATTTGTACACAAATATTTTGCCCCTGGTTGAATATTTAACAAATTTAAGGCCGCAGCAAAGTCAAGGCCTCGGCAGAATGTTCATTCATTTTAAATGAGCGGGAAAACCCTGGCAACCACGAGAAGTAAAAGTTATGGCAGCATTAACATTGTTGACTGTTAAATAAATAAAATCAATTTTACCTGACGGCGGACTTTTTCTGGAGTTGAACACGTAAGCTTGTTGCTATCAAGTATGCAATAACAATCACAATTCCATCATATTAAGGAAGCGTAGGTTGTCTTGGCAATTTCCCTTTTAATCAAATGCAACCGGGGTCTTCCAGAGTTGCCACGTTACTGTGTGACTCATGCCGTTTAAACAGCTGTTCCTTCCTCTTTTGGCTGCTTTTGGTAATTTGATGCCCAGTCGAGTCTTGCCCTGCGGTTTTGTCTTTGCGGTCAGTTTGTTTGTTGGCTGGCTGGTCAACTGCAGTGAAATTATGCAATGGTCATTCCGAAGGGGTTTTAAGGGGGGTTTCGAGGGGTCAGGCAGACCACCAGAGTGGCGGTGTCGGTTTTGTGGCCGAAGTAAGCAGTCAAATAGCATTTACTTTGACTGCAGTTCAAACGAAATTATTGCCTGGGAAAATGCATTCATTAAGTGTGGTGAACAAAAAATGCAGGAAATTAGTTGGACTGAAAAGCGGGTTTCAAACATCTCTGTTAAATATTTTTTTACATTTATTGATTTTAAAAACAAGCCTATCCAATTTCTTTTCCTCAATTTGCATATGTGCTCTGCCATTTCTTTTACTGCTAGAATCTCTTTTTCTGCATTTTCCATATCAAAGTCTTAACACGCCCGCTTCTTGCATCCAACTCCCCCATTTCCCAATGCCATGGGAATATTTGTAGTACTTCTCCTCATTCTTTTTCCCAGTTCTCTTCGGCTTTGTTCCCTTTGTAGTTTTACTTTTTTACGTGCCGGGCTTTAGTCTTTGCAACCCCCAAAAGTGCGAATCTGCAGACCAGGAACTTTAGTTCAGAGTTCATAAATAAAAGATTCACTTCTTGCCAGGCAGTAACTCCCTCACACGCACACAGTAAGCAAATAACATTGTTGCCCCTTTGGTTTCGTTGGCTACTTTTTATTGTAAATTGCTTATGCCAGGAGGAGAGACCTGTGTCTGTATTCCAGCCCCCCAAAGGTATTTCCCATTTGGCATTTCGCATTTGGCTTAAGCTCCGCTTCAACTTCAACTTCCACTCCTTTCGGTTTGCATATATCGAGCATACAAATGGTTTACTTTCTTGCCAAATTGTACGACGCTCTGGGGGATGCCCCCGGTTCCTTTGGCCTCTCTTTACGGCCAGTTGGCCATAACGCTTAGAAATCAAACAAGCCTCTCAAAGGGTTAGGCCACCCCTCCTTTTCGCCTTTCGCATTCATTCTTGATTTCGTTTTTACGCCTCGTAAGTGAAATGAAATGAAATCAAGTGGAATGGGATATCAAGGGGCAGGGACAAAAGTCGAGTGCGGAGTGCCTTGGCTTGTGGCATGCCACATTATTTAATTTACTTTTAAGAATATTCCAGCAGGCAGACAGTTGGCAAGACGTTCTACATCCTCATCCTTGTCTTACTCTCACCCGAAAGTCAACAAGCTGCTCTTGAGCAGGCTAACATGAAATGTGAGAGGCGCGTGTGTGTGTGTCTATCCTGCAGGGAATCTGGGATATAGCTCTTCCCTCAAACAGTTTGCCACTCAGTCAATAAAGACTTGAAGTATTTAATCCGAAAATGCCTGAAAAGCTCTCTTTTTAATTAGATCAATTTCAGTTTACCTTTAAAATTATAATACTTTGAATCTTTAAGGTAATAGTTAAAATTTTCTTTTTTATTATATTAGGTTAAACCAAATTCGTATATATTCTCTGGTTTTCCTCCAGGCCAAACCCCTAAAAGTAGGCAAGCATTTTTAATGTCTTCCCACAATCAGTTTCCACGTGTGCGTCTGTGTTTGTGTTGGCTGGGAGTTTTTACGAGCGACTTCCGTTTTGACATCGCAACATGTTTACCTACAAGACATTACAAGGATGTCGGGCTCATCCTTCCATTTACCATTTGCCAGTTACGTGGCGTGCCGTCAATTTAATTTCACATTTTTCATTATGCTTATGGCTGCTCGGGCTGCTCAAGGCTGTCTGTTTTCTTTGCCAGGGGCAACACTTAATTATGTTCATTATTTTCATGGCACGCGGTTGTCGCTCCTTGGGAATCCCCCGGCTCATCAACATTCTGACATCGTCGACAAAGCATTGAACTCATTTAAATTGAATTTTCTGCTGTGTGTGCGCTGCTTTGGCATTCTTTATTAATCAAATTGTTTTTTGGGAAAAGCTTGGCCCTTGGCTTGTTTACCTGACATTTATCAAGGCTGCTCCAACGCCCAGTTGGTCATTACAAATCGATTTATCTTGGGCTGAGGCCAAGAACTTATGGCTCTATTAGCCTGTGGGTGGGAAGGTGCAAAGGCAGCGCTAAATGTTTGCCAAAGCCGAGCAACATCATCATCATCATCATCAGTCTTGTTTAGCTAGCTAGTCTTGAAGTACCTGGCCACCTACATATTTATTAATCTCCTTTCTTCCTCTATTTTCCTTGCAGAAACAAGCGGAAGGTGCAGAATCTGCTGCCCTGCAAGACGCCCACTCGAGGACCTTTAAACGGAGCCATGCCCTTGGGCGGCGGAACTCTGGGATCGGCGCACCATCATCACCATCACGGGATGTACGAGGATCCCGATGCGCACTTGGGCCACCACAGACCCCTGGTGATGCATCGGCATCATCATCACCAGCAGCTGGCCCACCATCATCACTATCAGCAGCATCACTCCGAGGTTAGTAGAGACATCTTCACATCCTTCTCATGGGATCTATATCCCTATCCTTTCCCACCCTCACTTCATTCAACTCACCAAAACATTACGACAATCGCTGTCAAAACATTGCGCAGTCATTGTCTCGAGTTCAGGTTACTGGTTATTCGACTGCTTTTGATCCTGTCACATGCAATTCAATTGTAAGACGAAACCACGCTTCCTTCTCACCAAGCCAAGGATATCCCTTTCTGCATATTATTCATTTATGTCTATGGCTCTTTATGCCCATTGTACGCCTCAATTTACACTTGAACTTGACATGGCACATATATATATATAAATATACGAAGATATGCGACATATCCTGTGTAGTATCCTACCCCCAGTCAGCTTAATTTCAGATCCTTTGTGTGCCTAAATATTTTACGACTCTGACGCCTCGAAGGCTTTTTCTTTTTCTTTTTTTTTTTTCTGACCCAAAACGTGTTTTCTTTATGGGCTCACCCTCGGTTTTATTCCATTTTTTCATATTTATACCCGTTACCGTAGATAGATACTAGATTCGTCAAAAGTATGTAACAGCAGAAGCGTTCCGACCCCATAAAGTATATATATTCTGACAGGGTCACTAGCCGAGTCGATCTAGCCATGTCCGTCTGTTCGACTGTTTTTTTTTTTTCTTCTTCTTCCGTCTGTCCGTCTTTATGGAGGCGACATCTCAGAAACCCCAAATAGAAGGTGTGATCCAGTTTATTTTATTGTCTGATAAACAGCTCCTTTAGGGTCCTTAATCGCATAACGATTTTAAATGGGCTGCGCCCACTTTAAAGATATCCAGTATAAATCAGTTCTTTTGTGTATATTTATACCTATCGAAATGTAGAAGACATTTTTCAAATACAATTCATTAAAAAGTTATCGCAATCAAAAATTTCATTTCTCTCGCACTCCCTTTAGCTAGTTACGATTATTAGTCGGGACACCACCCGACACAGCGTTCCACTCCCTTTAGTTGGGGCATTTGATAGTCGGACACAAGCCTTTTTTTATCGGACACCAGCCCAATGGTGTGTGTTTATTTTATTGTCTGATAAACAGCTCCTTTAGGGTGCTTAATACGAACTGGCGGCTTCAACTATACCCAGTTCAATTAGTTTTAATACTTAACCTTTTAATCTGGTTAGGCATTCATTTCCCCCACTTTCCCATTAGTTGGGTATTTCCGTTTTTAAAGCTTAATTGGCGGAAGCATCGAAACCTTAATTCATATTTACTCGTGGCATTTTTAACTTCCTCGTTTTTTTTTTTTAACTTCTTCTCCTCTTTTTTTTTGCCTTTGTCAGCTTTGTTCTGTTTCAACAACTGCTTATGCTGCTCGGCTGCCTTCCCTTCTTGCTTCTTACTGCTCGAACTTGCCCCTTTTTCTCCTGGCCTGTCACATTTCAAAGTGCTGCCCCAGGGTACGTGGCAGTAAAGCGGCTTACCAGGAAAAAGAAAAACCTTTTCCTTTCCCGCAAAGGGGGTTGCAAATTGCACACGGCGCATAAAAACGGCATAGTAATGAGTTTAAAATTTTACAAAAATTTATTTCTGATTTCTTAAAATTATAATAACAGTTTTTTTTGCTGTGCATTCGAAGAAAGCGAAAGTAGGACCAACCCTTTTTCCACCCCCTTATTTTTACTTCTCCCTCTTTAACTTTTCCTTACAATAACTAACTAATTTATTTTTATTTTTCTTGCAGCTGCTCCAAGGCAAAAGCATTCACTACCCCAGCGGCTATCCTATGACGCGTTCGCCACCCTTCTTGGTCAGCTCCTCGCCAGGACCCGATCCCTATCGCTCCAACGACAATGTCTACGAGGAACTGGGACCGGGACGCGTTGACTCCGATGGCGAATCGGAGCCGCCACTCCATTCCGATGATGATTTCGCCGAGGACGAACTGTCGCTGCCGGGCGAATGCAGTTTCCAGAAGGAGAACAATCTGCCAGCTGGCGCCGGTGCCACGCCCTATCACGAGAGGGCGGCCGGAAGCAGCACAGGAGCATCGGGAGGAGCCATGGCACCCACCACATCCTCCAATCTGCCCACCCAAGAGCGACACAGTGTCCTCAGCAGCGGCTCCTCCTCCGGTCAGGATGCCTCCACGGCCACCGCCTCCTCGGCCAGCAACAATAATCACGAGTTGGCTTCGTCGGGTCCCAGCAGCAATCGTCGCACTGCTCGCACGCGACGTTCTCAGGATCACAATCAGGATCAGGATCTCAACAACAGCACCTCCACGGCGGACATAGCTGACCTGGCACCGCTCTACGACAACCGCAGCAATCTCATGTCCCTGGGCTACATGGCTCGCTCGACGGCACCTCAGTTCTACAATACCCTGGAGCACGAAGTGGAGCGTAAGGAATAGGATTAACGCACAGCTCAGCAAAGGTCCAGCTCCTCCGCTATCCACAATTTACAGGGAACGCATTCGCTATCCCACGAATGCCAGCCAGCAGTATCCTTCGAGTGCCGCGAGTGGTTTAATGGCCGCTACAATGAGGGCGAGGACTCAACCCAGGGTATTGGACCGTCGATTGGCACCTCATCAGCATCAGCACCATCGCATCCATGCCGCTCCCATGGCCCAGGAGCCTTCCTACTGCTATGCGGAGCCCATGTACAATGCGAACTATTACTACGAAAGTGCTGGGGCAGCCAGACCATATGCTTCCACCCTTTTGCCCTCTGCCGCCGCCGACTACCGTCATCCCTATGGGGACTCGAGCTTTGGTTCCGATTCGGGATATAGTCACCATACGCCGGCCAGCTCGATTGGTCGACAGGATTACGACCTGGCCGAGCCACAAGTGGTAAACCAGCCGCCGAAACCCAGCAAACTGAGTTCCGCCCTGAACTTCAGTTGGAATCGCAACTCTAGGGTTAAGGGATCGACTCCTGGTGGAGCTATTGCGAAAACCTCGGGAAATAGCAGCAATAGTAGTGCCACCAGTCCCAACAACAACAGCAGTGCCTGCTCCACCGTCACTTCGCAATTGGAGAACAACAATGCTGCCAGTCTCTCGCCGGCGTAGATAAACCAATAAAATATATATCCTATAAATCCTTGTAAATAGGGGTTACAAAAAAACTCAAGAACCCTGTACAGTTAGTCATATCTCCTAAGCTAAGCATACTGAATATCAAAACTGTCCTGCGTGTACATCGTCAAAGCAATAGCTATTTAACCTATGAATACTAAAAACTCGATGCAGAGAGCCCAAAGTTTCTTGGTAGGACTATCAAAATGGGATTGCCATACCAATACCACCAGGTTTTAGCTCTGTTTCAAAAGCAAAAACTTGTCGCAAAGCAAAGAACTTATAGGTCATAAGTGTTTTTCCAATGTGATTGCCAAATTCTACAATATAACGCTAAACTAAACTAAAAACTGCGAAACTAATTTATAATCTAGTTATATTAAACCTATGTCCACAATGTACTCTTAAGTTTAACTTTAGTTTTGTTTGTTATTTTAGTTTTTAAGTGGAGTGTAAGAAGAGAGAAGAGCTGCTAAAGAAAAAAACGTTGAACAGAAGGTCAACAAAAATATACCAAAACATTATAAAAATCAAATCGAAATCTATGAAGTGGTTTTTTATATTTAAAATTTTTATGTTTTCTTTTGGGTTGTGTTTGAATTTCTTTTAAAGAAAATTTCTGGACGAGTGATCTTTAACAGAACCGCTTCCTTTCCATTATTAAATGGGATGTAACAGAAATCTTTTTCAACCGAAAAACGTTTTAACGTATTTAAAGAGATTTCTGTGACTCCCCCATATATTTACTTTTCAATTATGTAGCGCACTTTCAGGCGCCTCAGGAAATTCAAAGAGAATATTTCATTTTTGCATGCATACTTTTTGGAGCAACTGTAAATGTTACTTAGTTAACAGTGGTATTTTCCTCTGTTATTTAACAGTCCCTAAATTATTTATTCTCTTTTTTTCATAGAGTTTATAAGTTTTAACAATTTCTTCGGAGCAGCATTTAAATGTTAATGTTAATATTTTTATTACAGTGTTGATTTATCTTCGTTTTTTGTTAAAAATAAATTGCAGTATTGCATTTAACCGCAGCCTTTGATCAAACGACAACCAAAGGCTCTAAAAAGACTGTTTACATATAAAAGAACAACATATTTTACTTATTACCGAAACAATAATAAACTGTATAAACTAAAACCTAGTTGGTAGAGCTTTGTAAACTATATCTTGATGAAGAATCCAAGCAAGAAGCGAATGAGAAAATCAGATAAAACACCCATTAGGTATGTCGAGTGAACCATTTTAGCGGGTGCCCTTATCAATGAATCCCCGCGATATAGAGAACACTTCCTAGGTTGTATCAGAACTGTAAATAGCAGAAGGGGATCATTGCCTCCCCCTGCCAAGTAGCCGGTAAAAACCAAATAATATCCACTAATAGTGTCCCCATCCTCCCTCCCATTTTCCATTTTCCCCCAGCGATGTGTGAGAGGAAGCGAAATGTTAAATTTTCTTATATGAGCACAATGCAATGTATCCTATAAACCGTAGTCTATACATACATACATATTCGTACGTAGAGTACACATAGCTTAGAATCGAAAATGAAAACATGAACCCATGATGATAAGCTTATATTGATAAGAGCCGATTCCTAGACCTCCCCTCCCACGAGTAGCAACTTAAAAGGATAAAAACTTAGCCTAGATTAACTTCTTCAGCCATCAGCCATATGATATGCAATAATTGCTTTAGATCAAGTTCAAGTCGTTGTGATTTTTGGAAAGCCGCCTATAAAAATCGAGGTCTCTACAAACAATATAAGGCGTATATACATAGATATGAATATAAAAACAGACCCAGATAAATAAAATGCAGTAGCACAATCATCGAGCGAGTGACAACAAAAACGAACAGCAGCTTACAAGGACTAATACTAATCCTAAAAATTAACTAGATATATGGTTCTCAACTTATTATTTCCGAAAACCAACTGACAAATTGCAAAGTAGTGTTTCCATTCCCATTCAATATTCCTTAATTTTTTCCGAATGGTTTCCATCGTTAACAGACTCAATTTCCTTACTTTTCTTATTTGAATCTTACATATCAACGATCGTATTTATGTAATATAGCACACCTGGTTTCTAATACTATCAATATCAGTACAAACACTATATTAAAGACAACTTTTATCCTAAACTTAAACCTTCAAAACCGAAACTCGATTAGAACTTATTCTCCATCGCAAGTTGTACATACGGACGTCAATAAGAAACTTTTGCTGTAGTTCTTCCAAAAAAAAGCAAACAATAAATGTAAAATGTTAAAGAAAGTCTATGAAAACCTATGTAAGGCATCAAATTAAATTGAATTAATTTGTATTGTGTGTAAATAATTGTTTTCCTGTTAAGTTAATAAGAAATTTTGGATAGCATATCAAGCCAATGACTCCATTTAAAGATCTTTCGTATACCAACTAAATCATTTTCTACAACTGCTTAGATTTTATAAGAACTATGGAGGGAATCTTTTCATTTAAATGCAAAGGAAAAACCAAAAAAAGGAGCGATTTAATCGAATTTATAATGTTTAATAGCAGTTAGTCGAGGTAAACAGAAGTCCCAGTGGTAAAAACCCTAACATCAATATAAATATCAATTAAATTAACAAAATGATTAGTAATTAATTATGCCCCAACAGCTAGTTAGTTTATACATTTTTTGTAAAACCAATTAAACAATTAGTTTCACCTTTGTCTATAAGCAGATATGGATAATAATTAAAAGGACGAAAAAGAAAAACAAAAAAACAAATCAAATTATGAAATATAAAAAAAGGGCGTTTTTATTTTCTGCATTTTAAGTGGGGTGGGAATTTTAATTGAAATGACCACAAAATGTACGATTTATGTAGGAATGGAAAAAAATGTTTATGAGGTGAGTAAGGTGATAAAGGGGTTAAATGGAATGGTAATGTCTATAAAAAGGCTAAAAAATATAAATGAATTATTCCTTTTTCTCAGTGCACTAAAACACTTTCTCTGCTCCTTTCTCCGAAAGCGACACCATCACAAGAGAAGGCGTAAATCTGCATCAAATTAAATATGCGCGCGTGTGTTCCGAGGAGAAAAGGGGGCTCAAAATGCGGATGAGGGGCCGGGTTTGTTTTAGCGCTTGTGCATGCAGTTAATGTGCTTATTTTAAAATTTAAATTGGCTTGCGCAGTGCGCACTTGAGTAGGAACTCCACAAAAGAGTGCGATGAAGGGGGGATATATGTAGCAAGTAGCATGTGTGTGCGCACTCCTTACAGGATTCGCTTTAATAGAAAGTTTGCACTGCTCTTTCTTTTTCTTGGGGTTTTGCATAAAGCTCATGGTGTAATTAACAGTCACTTGCAGTGGCAGCAATGGGGAGCCTGTGCCAGGGATATATACATTCCCTCACATACGCCTGCAATAAGATAAACAACCTAATTATTTTCGCAGGGCGAACGAGCTGCACTTTTGCTGCGGTTCCAAAAAGCCGGAAAAGGAAAAGGGAAAGCATCCACATCTCATCGTCAAGTGTGTTTGCTGTTGAAAGCTACAAGGCTTCAGCGAAAATGATGTAATTAAATGCAGTTTGCCTGGAGATTTATAACAAGCTCAATCAAACTAATCAGGTGAAGAAGGAAGTTAGTTAACCGCATACTAAAATAATGTCATGTTTATTTCGAGCTTTCTTCGGGTCTATTGTCAGACCTAAACACGTGTCGTCACTTAAATGAACCCACACAATAGATTTAAGTAGCTGAATTATTTTCAGCTGAACTGAAGCCACTTAATTGGCGGTGAGCCATGATATCAACAAGGTTCAAGTTCACCTTCAAATTTATGATAAAACTGACCTAGCCAACACAGAAAAACCAGAGCTATTTTAAGAGCCATTAAACTATAGAGTAAACTAAATATACAAAAACTACAGTATTAAAAATCGAAAAATTATAAAGTTTTTAAAAATTTTTTTCATTATTTCCAGAAATTTATTCATTAGCAACGTCAGAAATGCATAAATGTTTGTTTTTAAAAGTGACAATATAAAATTAGAAAAGTTGGAGTCAAAAAGTTAAACGAAAAATGAATAACTGCATGCGGATATTATTATTTGTCTTTCTAAAAAAACATTTAACTAGCACTGCACTATTGAGTGCGATGGCAATTAGCTGGTCTCATGGAAGCCTCAACTCTATATTGCGTTAATCAAAAGTTTCAGTGTTCTCTCAGCAGTGTTCTATCCCCAGAACAGAACTGAACCCCTCACCTTTTAACAGCAAACTCCAAAAGTTATGCTGGCAGTTGTGCCGGAGAGCGTTTTGTCATTCATTACAAATTTTCACACATGGCCCAATTAAATTATTTAGCCCCATACACACACACTCGCTCTCTCTCACCCCGAATAGTTTTAATTAAATAATAGATACAAGCTACCTAGGATACCAACTCTGGTTGTGGGCGTGGCACCATTCTACCAGCTGCTTTTTTCCTCATTTGGTAGTCAACTTTTGGCAGTTGGCAAAAGTTTGCCGGGATAAAACGACTCCCGAGACAAAAGCCTATGGCCGAGTTACGGCGAATGTGTGTCAACTGTACTCCAAAATGTTCGTTTTCGACACACGCAGGCAAACCAGTGCTATCATCTTCCCCTCTCTTTCGCCCAACTATCCCTTACTCTTTCTCGGGGAGCTTGTAAGACATTTAAAATTAATGTGCTATGGAGGCGTTTGAGAGCTTACAAGACAAGTCGAAGACAACTCGAGGACATGCAGCCGTTAACATAATCGCTCGAGCTTAGAGCACTCGTATGCCCACCCACTACATGGCGCTTTTCAACACTGTTCGAAGAAGTGGAAAGTTGACAGTATCAGCACAGAGTATAAATCATTAAAAAGCTGTAGAGATTCTTGGCACATTTTGAGGTGGGTCAACTTTAAAGAACAGCTAAAAAAAGTACCTAAGGTTTCGACAATATGGGTCAGTGTTGAACAATGAACTGAAAAGCGAGCAATTCACAATTACATCCTATCTTTGAGTTACTCACCGCTTGAAGTGGTCTAAAGTAAAGAGTTCCCTTAACAAGGCAGTTTCATTCAAGAGATTTTCTTGCTAAAAATTGAACAATGACCTGAAATGGGAACAAGTGCATTTGTTTGCTAAACACTCAAGGTGTTGTATGTCACAAAGCTCTTATCGCTATCTATCTGACCGCAAGATATCGCAGACACATGTTAGGTAATTATCATTTGCCGGGGGTTACTAGTAATTGCGTCCTACAGTAGCCATAAGTGTAATATACTCCTAGATACATTCACAAGTGCAACAGAGAGTCACAAATCATGTGACTTACGAGCTATAAAAACGGGACTATCCATAAATTGAAAAGGGTAGGTATATTGGTTTAGGCTTTTACATGTGTTATTATATGATTCATAGTAATATCTTGCTTAAATTAACAAAGGGACTAGAAAGAAGGTTTGTTCATGTCTAGATTTGCGAAAAACACAATAAAATAGGTAAATGTTTTCCGATGAGTAAGACATGTAAATGCAAAAGTGCAGCCCTGGACATACATTCTTATAATTTATTTATCGTGATCACGCAGTCATTAGATATCAATTGATTGATTACCAACTTAGGTCAGATAATTACCTGATGACCAATGGTTATATGTTCACGGCTTCAGTTCTTGATCTGCGGCCGAGTCACAAGCAACCCACCCATTCGCCATTATGTCAGCTAGGACTTATGCCTTGGGCCTCCTTTGCCTCTTGGTTTTTCTTCAAGGAAGCTTTACAGCCCAAGCCCAGGCTGGCGATTATGTGGAACTGTGTAATTTGACCGAAAGCATCGCTGTGGATCTTAGTTTGGTGAGGGAACTACAAAATTCAGGTTATTTTCTAAAGGTTAATGGGATATTTTTTTAATAGTTCTCTGGCATTTGGTGGGAGGTGGCTCGTCAGCCGGCTGGAGGCGACTTTTGCACTGAGGTAAACATAACAGTGCTGGCAAATGAAACCCAGGATAATGTCCTGATCGACACCACCTACGCCGTATCTCCCGATTACCCATGGGTGAATCAAACCATGAATGCCACCCTCACCGTGGTGAATAATTCCGCGGCCGTGGATGGCTTTAATTTTACCTACTGGAATCCTCCTGGCTACACCCCTTATGCTGTGTACAAGGTTCTCTACACTGACTACTCCGATGTGACCCTACTTTGTGGCTATACAAATCAGACCGATAACAGCACCTCCTTCGGCATTATCCTCACCAGGGATCGTACCCCCACCACCGATGCTTTGAATAAACTAGAGAGCATGGCTTTTGGTCTGTCGTCGAACTTTTTGAATGGCACCATGTCGACGATAACTCAGGGAGAAACGTAAGTATGAATTGGAATGACTGTGAGATAAATAATAAAAAATATTTATTTAATATTTCAATTGATAATATTCATTCATATTTATTTCCAACTTATCTTATAGTTTTTTTCCTTCCAGATGCTATGCACCATCCGCAGCCAACCCGTCTTGCCATTATCTCTATGATGTTGATTGCCATGGCCTTGATTCTGGCCATTTTTGCTGACCGTCAAATAAATTAGTTAGCACTGAAAAAAGAAGTTAATTTCAATTTGCTTTGTATCAAATTTTAAATTCAGAGATCAAATAAATAAAAATCCATTCATATTGATTATTATGAATTTCTAAATTTCCTTTTTAATGACTCATAGAAAAATCTTTGCTAAAATATAAAATGATTCCATATCTACTGAACCTTTCTTAACATTGAAAAAATACATTTCTCTACCAGGTTGCTTATTAAAAATGTTTCTTTATCGCCATTCGGCCTTCTTCGTCTCTGATTCTGTTTTTTTTTTGCATTCTTGTTATTGTTTTCATTAGTGACTCATTGTCTGTCGGCGATAAAGCAATTTAATCCAGAACTGAAGACGTTTCCTCCCTATATGTATATTTTTATTGGGGTGATAGATCACTAAAATGTTTAGATAAAACTCCGCGAGGAAGACTTCAATTAATTTAATACATGTTTCTGGTATCTACGAGTAATGATAAGACCACTTACCTTGTTTACGGCATGGCATTGCCGAGTGTAAGAAATGACTAATGGGAAATAGTACAACCGCTCTCAGAAGGAAAGAAGAGGTCGATAAAACCACAGAAAAGTTTCTGATATCTATAAAGCACAGAACTGACTAGTCTAAATATGAATAATCGACGAGTATGTAATCAAAATGAAACAGAAAACATAATTATAATATTCGTAATAATATTCAAACAACAAAGGTTTTTAACTCAAGTCATTCAAAACAGCAGCCTCATTAAAACGTAAGTTTAAATACAGACCAATTAAATGGCGACTGATTTTTAGTTTTGGGGTTGCGATAATGGTTAGAATCTATTTCTGGCCAGGAGAATCATTTCCCGGAAAATGATGGCAAAGAGCTTTGCAGGTAAGACAACCTATTGACCAATGTGCAGGGGAGTTTTTCGAAGGTGCAAGAACAAGAGCGGAAAGCCATAACTATTCTGGGCCCAGCAATCAGAGTCCCGGGGGATTAGTCATTCCACGGTAGGCGATAACAGACGTCAGATGTACGTAAATCGGTGACAGAGCCCGGGCGCCTCCACAAGTGCAGGCCCGTCGATAATGGCTGCGAAAATACGGGAAAAAGATACCCGCCTATAAAAGCCAGTTGCGGATGCGAAGCCAGTTCAGTTGAACGACGCACTCGCAGCGAACCGATCGCAGGACCGGAACCAAAAAGCGGAATATACCTTACAGATAAAAGTTACAAAACCTCCCAGTGACATCATGTGCAAGAGTGTGATTATTTTCCTGGCCATCGTGGCCTCCATTTCGATGGCTCTAGCCCAAACTGCAACCCCACAAACCTGTGCCCAAGCCCCTAGCATTAGCTTCAACAATACGGAAGTGAGTGAAGAAAAATCATTAGTATTATAGAACTATTAGTAAAAGAAATGGTACTAAAAAATCACTTTGGATATCGGCAATCTAAACTGAAATATTATTTCCTAAATAATATTTTAATACATTATAGCTCTGCTAAAAGGATAACTGATGTTCCCAATAGATTTTATTTTTTAAACGAAAACAAAATAACCTGTCTTTATTTTATTTATGCTTTTTTATTTTATTTTGTTATTATTTAATTTATTATTAATTTAATAACCTTCTAATCTTGTAGTTAATTTTTTATATAAATAATTTATATTTTAATTTAATTGATAGTTAAAATATTTTTGAGAAGAAATATTTCATATGTTTTCCGATTTATTATTGATAGGTGAAGCAAAGTCTTAGTTCCTTTATAAAAATATCCTTTTCTTAATTTCCAGCTGAGTGGCAGGTGGATCGAGTTGGCCCGCAATCCAGCCTCGAATGTGGCCTGCATCACCCTGAACGTGGCTATCTGGAACAACTCGAATGTGCTGGTCAATGTCAGCCATTCGAGCAACAACCTCTCCACCCTGGTGGACGTCTATGAAACGGCGAACATCACTCTATCTGCGAGCAACAACCTGGTCGGCTACAATGTGTCCTTGGTGAATGGCCAGAAGAACGAGTATGTGTACGTCAAGCTGCTGAGCTATGTGAACTCCACGTACCTCGTGGGATGCAGCTACACGGATGCGAACAACGCATCGACCAGTGCTGGATTTATTCTGGGCAGATCGAATTATACCACCCAGGGCATTAACAAAGCCAACAATGATGCCTCCACGAGCTTTACCAACTTCCAGAACAACACCTACGGCAATGTCACGCAGTTGGAGTGAGTTGGCCCCCAAAAGTCCCTTAAAAAAAATACACTAATTTTGTAATTTATCCAAATGTTTCAGTTGTCGTGCCAGTTCTGCCGGACAGACTGTGCCCCTGACCCTGATTTCAGGCTTCCTCGCCTTCGTCCTGCTGCTGATCAAGGCCTAAGAAAAGGAGAGATGTAACCTACTTACCATCCATAGAAAAAAAAGAAGAAAAATAACCAAACCAAAACCAAAACACTTGCCTAAGTTATTGCGTCATTCTCTTTATTTAGTTTTTAGTTGACTTTAACGGCAAAACGATGTCAATAAAAGTAAACCGAAGTGGGTGAGGGCCCGTAAAAAGAAGTCCCACTGAAAAGAACAAAACTCGATAAAGGTGTTGTACAGACAGCAGACGAAAATCAGGTGTCTCAATACTCCGCTGCAATCAGCGCTTTAATTTGCTGGCAACTTGTTCGAAGGTATGCGTGATAAGATAAACGTAAGCGATAGCGAAATATATGACTGTGCCACCATTTATTTTTGTTCTTTTTTTTCCTTGCCTCGCTAATATCTAACAAGCAGCTCATAAATCAATCAATGGCCGCGTGTTCACAGGCAAAAATATTCGATACGTTTTGCCACTGATTAATTGATTGACAAATCACTTCACTTCACTCTACCGTTTGCAGTTGGCTAATTACCCTGGTTTAGGGGCAGTTGTGTATTTTTATCGCTTGTCGGTGGGATTTATCTATTTGCTTTCATGGCCCAATGAGGTGATTTTGAGATACTGGAACTGCAGGCACAACTGCGATTGGTTTGTAATAATGATGATTACTCGATTAGCATGTAGAACCGATAAAACTAGTGTCTGATAAAGTCAAATAAAATCAGAAGACCGACTGACAATTATTTTGACACTCTTATTACTTTGCCCTTGGGAATAAACTTAAACTTTTACACGTACAATAAAATCAGACGTAAAAAATTATCTTGTGTTCAGTATAAACAAACAAAAAGACAGCGCATTTCAAATTGATAAGATGAAACATTGAGTAAACCAACAATTTATAAAACCATCTTTGACTTGTCGTTGGTACTTACGAGTATTGATAAGAATGTTTTTTATAAAGATACAAAATGTCTGGCCATTAATGCGGGCTTACATAAATAATATATTACACAATTTTTCTTTATCAACCAATATATCTTCTTTGGGTTTTTATATCGAAAATTATTTTACTGTAGGTAGAAATATGAATAAATATTTATTTCCTTCGTCAAGGGGCCCTCAATCTATTCATATCCAAAACAATTTCCTCTCGAACTCACCACTCTTACAAGCCACTTGGTCAGTTGTTGGAAAAGTTGTCAAACTACAATGAAAGAAAACACCGAAATCCAGCAGACACTTAATTGTCAAGAAAATAGAAAAAGATAGAAGAAAAGCCAGTTGGAACAGCAGGAGAAGACAACTCAGTTAACGCACATACTCGATTCAATACGATTCTGTGATTTGTTTGCCACCCCGCTGCCGCTGCCGAAAACGAAAAGAAAACACTTAGAGTCCTGGCCAAGTCTCAAATCAGATACAAAATCCCCGGGAGCTTCTGCCTGTTACACACTTATCGAGCTTCTGGCTGGCTGTTGCTGATTTCTCGTTTATTTATTCAGCTCCAACCCAATCAGCCCACCCACACACATCCTCATCCGATCCTGATGCAAACAAACCCACACGAATGTAAACACAAGGCCACTAAATCACTGAACACTCTCAGCTTTGGCATTTACACCACCATCACCCACCTCCAACCATCCGAAGGACTTTCTGCTCCTCATCCTTATGATCCTGCGACTTCTTTTGTTGCTGCGCTTGACCCGCGGCTCCTGTCCCTTCGGCCCCTTTGCCCCTTTGCTCCTCCACAAGGGTTTGTTTATGTTTATTTGTTGGCACAATTTCGTTACATTGTTTGCTTACAATCTACTCATTGTTTGCAGGGTTCGTTGTTGTTCTTGAAATCAAGTTTACATCGATTAAGTAGCAGTAAAATCTGTTGCCAAGAACAACACAAAAAGGGCTTACCCCGAAAAGGGGGCCAAGGGATCTAGAAATTTGTATAAAAGGTTAAGACAAGTTTTTCTAGATTTTGATAGAAATTGTAAAAAAATAATTAAAACATTTTAAGACATCTCAAAGAACAAAAATATTACTTACCTTGCATAACTACCAATTTATTTCCATATTTAACCATCACACCATGAAATATCTGTGAATAAAGCTTGGCATTCTTGCACCTAGCAGAGGTATTCATGACATTCATCCCCGGCCAACCCAACAGCCAGACAATAATTATACACTCTCAAGTGGCTAATCATCCAAGAAGCCGGACTCAGCCCAGCTCAACCCAGACCAAAGTCAACCGCAACAAAGTCCGGGGCCATAGAGCTCCTGGTCAAATGGCAGACAAACAAAGGACGCCTCCAATCAATGCTAATAGCAATCGTCCTGCAATATCCTCAAAGTGCTTAGAAAACCGAAAGCCAAGAACCACACACATTCGGAATGTGGGCAGAAAAGGGGGAGTGACGGAGTGGATGGAAAGGGCGAACCAAAGGAGCTGGAGCAGACAAAACTATTAATTAATTTCCCAGTCACTGCAGGCCATCGACTTTGGGATAGGAACCTACCGCATGCCGTTGACATTTCAGTCAATTCTCAGTTCTCGCAACTGATTCCAATCTCATAGCCAAGGTGTGCGGCAGGCTAACGAATTTGCCAAATGGCGTAAGACGTAAGAGGAGTTTTTATTTGGAGTTAAGGGAAGGGAAAATTTGCTTAGACATTCATTCAACTTGTTCTTGTGTAATTGCTGAGGGGCGGCTGGGGATTTTGCTGTTATCATATAAATTGAAATCTTAGCCAAGTTTGTGGCACTCAAGTCTCAAGTATTTCACAGTGGCAATCGTCACTCAAGTGTCGCTTCTCCTAAGCTACTCAGGCACACTGAGAGAAATATTGGGGGCCCTTAGAAGAACACATAACCAGTTAATAATATTTTAGAATAAAAACCTAATATAATACCATTTTCCCATTTATATTCGTGTCTAAATCATTCTGAAATGATTTTCTTTGTTTAGAAATTTTCAAAACCGTAGGAGAATTCATTTTCTTTCACTGCATTTATTTATGCTAATTTACTCATACCCATAAAAAGTATACTTATATTAAAATCTTTTTTAATCATTTAATTTTACTAACAAACTAATTTCTTTTACTGCCTCATCTACCCTGCGAATTCTCAATTTATGCTGATCTCTGGCCTTTCGCCTAAGCGCTTTTACATTTGCATAGATTTCCCAAAACTCGGCAACAAAAACATGATTTGATTTCCACATCCACAGCTGATAATACTTCTCAATATGCGTATATATGCATACAGATATGTGTTTATGCGGTGCCACAGGTGGGGGTAATTGAATGGAGGTCCTCCGTCATTTACATTCAATTAACAGTTGTAGGCCAGAGCGAATTGCCATCTATGAGATACTTGTATGTCTGGGCATTAATACTCGACCATCCATAAATATTCATGGACAACAACAGAGTCGTAGCATAAAAGGGGTTCAAGAAAATATAAGATGCCTGGAAAATAGGTTATCATCACCTTTATTATATCCCGTGTGCTTAAAATAAAAATTATCTAATTTTAAATGAATGTCGTAAAGCCGTTTGAATAAAAAAACTACAATGTCGTAAAGCCGTTTGAATAAAAAAACTACAACGTCTGATAAGTTTGTAGTCATAATAAAATTCGAATGATAACAAATTTACCACGAAATAATTATAAATATTTGTCAATAGTCAATTCATCAATATTGATTCACTAAAAACCGCCCATTAATCATAAATAATTATCGTGATAACATTAATAAAATTCTCAATATCTCTGTCCCTTTGGAATGCCGCCCCTGGGCAATTTACATTTGGGCCTAATTTATGCCACATGAACTTGGGCTTTTGTGTAATGGAACTGTGTTTTGTCTTTAGTTGACTTTGGGCTAATGCATAAGATAATTACTGTTCCAGAGAAAGTGTCGTACGGATTACATATTCATCAGCCTTTGATGAGTACTGATGGAACTCGAGTTATGAGCAAGGGGAATTAAAGATGAGCCAGTGATATTTATAGTAAGGAAATTCATATCATAAATATATTCAAACTTGTTACTAGACGAGTTATTTCTAGTTTTATATTTCAGTTTGTACATATTTTGTAAAGATATATATTATTTACAGAATGAGTAACCCACCTTAGCTTAACTCCTGACAGACATTATCAACCCTCTCGCAAATCCTGCTATCACACTTCGTTTTCTTAAACGGCGAACGTGTGAATCCCCTTTTGACAGCTCGTCACATCTGCAATTAAAGCAATTAATTAAGTTGGTCTACCTCAACCCACCTCAGCCGCAAAACTCGAACTGTAAAGGAAAACGATAGCCCGGCGAGCAAGAGCATTCACCTTCATTCAACCCATCCCAGAGGCATTATTTTAAATGCCAATTACAGTTGGAGCAGGAGCAATGGGCATAGGTATGGGTTTTGGGATATAGAAAGAGAGTGCTGGCGCAAATTGCTGCAAATCCATGGCGGATGGCCACCATTCCAGTCGATTTCGAGCCATTTCGTCTCTATGCGAGTGGGCCGGAGTGTGTTTGTTGGCACAGGCATTATTCGTAACGAGCGACATGATCATAAAAATAAACGCAAAATATAACACAAAACGCAAACACAATAATGGCCTGGGAGTGCCTTAGTTTTTATTTTTACACCTGTTTACAAACAAAGCAACAAAGCAAAGGCAAATGGAGGACGGAGGACGAGCAAATTTGACTGCTCCAGCACGCACACAATTAAATTTCCGGTACAACACCTACATGGGAATCCCCCGAAAAACCCTCCAAAGCCCTCGAAACCCCCCTTAAAATACACTTTGATTTCCGTGCCGCAACTTTCTGTCTGTGTGTGTGTGTATGAGTTAGTGTGTGTGCAGCGTGTTTGAGCCATTAAAATTACGCCTAACGGAGTTGCAAACGCACCCAAACTCACACAGAAAAATACACTGAAAAAAACAAGAGAAGTAAAAATCTTTAATACTAGATAATAACCCTGCAAGCATTTTCTATCGCGGAAGTCACTATTTAGTGACGTCTAGAAGATGAAAACGATCGTCCGCGATATCGCATTCGGATCGCCGAAGTCACCCCCGTCGGGAAGAAATGTTCCACTACGGCGACACTTCCCGAAGTCACTTCTGAGTGACTCCTAGAAGTGTCGCGGAAGTCACTTCCAGAAGTGACTTCGGCGACGCTTCTAGAAGTGCCGCCGTAGTGGAACATTTCTTCCCGAAAAATTCGGGGTGACTTCGGCGATCCGAATCGAACGTCACTTCAGAAGTGACTTAGGCGACACTTCTAGAAGTGCCGCCGTAGTGGAACATTTCTTCCGGGGGGGTGACTTCGGCGATCCGAA